TTCGGCGTATCGCCAGCTTTTTGGGCTTTCGCCGGCGGATCGCCAGCGAATCGCTGGCGATACGCCAAATGAATCTCTGGCGAGTCGCTGGCGATCGACTATGCATACGGCTGTTAGAATTTTCGTCAATTTCGGATTTAAAAAAATTCTTAACAATTAAACGGTTAAAGATACGATGATGGGAGTAAGGACTTTTTTTATTCGAAATATCCTAAAAAATATAAAAAAATTAATTCATTGCAAAAAATGCATTTTTTCTGGCTTAATTAATTTTTCGTTGTTTAAACAATAACATCAACAAATATCGAGTGTCATCTTACACTTTTATAATCAGGAAAGCCTTCCAGACATTTAAAAAAAAAATTACGAATTAAAACAATTTTGCAAACGAATGCGCCACTATCCCTGCACTAGATCACAATTGAAAGAATGTGCACGTCTGAATAGGCAGGCTTTTTAAAAACGCTCCTTTATTAATGGTTTATATCTTTGGTCTTCTCGAAAACATATCAAAATATAATATAAAGCCGATGTTATAATTGTTTGAGACATCCTTTACGTCTTTTGAAAATTAATTGTTTATTTGCAGGTAAGATACCTACAAATTATGAAGGCTACTTAAAAAAAGAAGGTAATTTTTAACTTTTAATTAAGCAAAATGATTTCCTACACACAATTTAATATTTTTTTATAAACAAATTAAACGTTTTTGTCTGTTCGGTCGATTATATTTTTATAAATTCAGCACTACATATGTTTCGGAATTAAAATACATTTTCTGGTGCAGTCAGTTTTTTTTTTCCTATTTTAATGGCACTGGCAGAGCCAACATGCCAGTCACGTTGTAGATTCGTTTTATCAACGATAATTACAAAAGTTGTTAACAATCGTATTATGTATTGTGTTAGTAAATGCCTATTTGATTTTTCGATTTTTTTTTGTGTCTACGTTTTTTATATCTATTATATTTTATCCCCTTTTTTTTTGTCATTGAATACGATTTCTTTTTTAAACATTGGTATAAAATCCGACGCAGGTACTTTGCAATTTAAAAAGTCACAGTTTGTTAAAATAAATAAGTAAAAAAAATATTTAGTAAACGTTTCAAAATTTTCATATTTATGTTTGTGATAGTGAGTAGGTGTATGTATTCAAAGTATTAATATTTGGGTTAAAAAAATATTTGGGAAACAAAAATAAGAGTTTTTTTAGAATTAAAAATTACCAGTGGTGGTACAGTAAATCTTAAATAGCTTACAACTAGTTGATTAAATTAAACTGTTTGATAAATCTTTTGTTAGTTTTATTATTTACAGTTTTATAATTTTTTTAATACCAATCATATCAAGGATCTTTCTTTTATTATAGTTAGACCCTTTTTCGAGGATTCTTACATTTTATAATGTATGTTTGAAGAAGAATATCTTTATTGAAGTAGGTAACCCTAATATACAAACAACTATAAATTCAAAATCCAAATGTCTAAAATATAAAATACAGAAATATACATATCGAATACCATCAAATAAATTTTTTAAAAGAAATTAGCCCATTTAATCAACATTTACACTTCTCTCATCACTTATGAACATGTTTCAGCATTTTATTTTTAAAAACTGTTACTGATGAACTAGCTTTAATACAAAACGACAATTTGTTGTAATGGTCAAAGCATTTGAAAAATAAGGAATTCATTGATGTGCGTTTATTTGTTCTATGTGCAAGTTACTGATATTTCTGGTAGAGTAGTTATGAATATTATTGTTAAAATAATTAATGTATTCTCGAAAATAAGGTGGTGCCAAACCATTTAATATTTTATATACTCACACCATAGTATAAACCGAAATCCGTTCCAGTATAGAAGTACATTTGCTACATCTCAATATAATCCTCATACCACGATTTTGCAGTTTATGTTACTGTGTCATTTGGTTTAGGTTGAAAAGGAGATACACCAATGTTAATATCATTTTCAGCAGATATATGATTATGAACTTTTACTCTTTGTTTTCTTCCAAATAATTATTAAACCAATTTAAGTATTAAGTTTTTTTAAAAAAATATTACGATCTATTGTTTTAAGAGCTCTCTTTAAATCTAGAAAAACTGGTACTACATAGTTATTGATTATCTCCGTTTTAAATTTACATAAGAAGAGTTGCAGAGCTGCTCCATAAAAGTGTTTTTTTGCGGAATCCAGATTGGTTGATAAATAAAATATAATTGTTTTCAACATGTTGAAGAGTTTGTTCATATACAACTAATTCAAGCATTTTTCTATAGGTGGAAAAGTATTTATAGGTCGGAATTCAGAAGCCTTTATTGTATTACTTACTTTAGGAATTGGAAATATTGTACTTACTTTTAATAAATCTGGTACTGTTGCAGTTCAGGTATTAATTAGATTTAAGGTAACACGTTTTAAATAGTTGTTTCATCATTTTGGTATTAAGGATTTCATAAAATATATTGTTCAGCAAGTTTATAATTACTCTTAATTTACTCAATGACAACAAGTGAACATTTGAAAATTTAGGATACAGATTATAGTTACAGAAATTTACTGTTATTTCATTCGAGATGCTATCAACTATTTGAGTAAAAAGATGTATTACATTTACTTGCAATTTCAGTAACATTATGTTCGATTTTGCATTCATTGATTAAGTTAAATTCAATAAAATTTGGAAAATTTTGATTGTTAGTATTTATTAACTTTTTAAGAGTCTTCCACATTAGTCGAGAATTATTTTTGTTTCTATCAATCTTATTAAAATAATATTGTTCTTTTTTTTTATTTTTAGTAAATTTCCAACTTCATTCCTCAATTTTTTAAATGCTTTCCATTTTTCATTTTTATCAGCACCAGGAGTGGTCTGAAATTCTTTATACATTTTATCCCTATCTTTTATTTTATAATGAATGTCATTATCAAACCATGAAACATTACTTTTATACTGATAAACTTGTATAGGCACTACATTAGTTTTCTTTTGTTAAAACAGTAGAATTTTCATTATTAATTGAAATATTATTTTTATGGTTTTTTATTCTTTTGCTTTCTTTTTTGATTTTAGGTTTAAATTTTTTGAAAACGGTTTTTGTTGTATTTTCACATTATCTCTAGAGAAAATTTTAGACACTTGTTCTGAAATTCCTTTTACACATGGCATTTAATGTTTAAAAATGGTTGCCGAAACAAATGTTACAGGGATACCGCTTTATGCTTTTGACTATTTAAGGAGCTATTTATTTATAATAAACATAAATATTTTTTAGGTAAAATAATGGCTAATTTGAAGGCAATATACACTGAATAAGCGCCACAAATTATGGATAAATTCAGATGGGAATGGCACCTTTAAAGATATCCAAAATATTTTTCTGATAATATGCATATATGCAAGGAAATTAATTATGATACTGGTATTTTGTATATTGTTCACTCTATCTAATTTAAGTGTCTTGTTGTTTTTTTTTATCTCAACAAGTTCATGATTCAGGACCTATATTAAAGAAACTTGTAATAATTTATCAAAAAACTGAAAAAAAAAGTAAATTGATTCTATAAGTACATGATAGAGATCTTATTTTAAATATTAAAGACAAGAAAAACTTTCAAAAAGCGTTTCTTAAATGTACTAGTTTAATTCTGATTGAAGTAGATTTATAAGCTTATTTCACAAGTTTATTTTTTTAGTTTAATTTATGTTACCACTAAAGGTTCAATTACTGAAGTGGTCTAAATAAATAAAACCTTTTTTTTTAAACTTATCTAAACAAATAAAAGATAACTATAATGCCTATAATTTTATTTGAAAATTAAGGTTTTTTAGCAAATTAATTTTTTTATGGCTCAATTTGTGTTACCACTAAAGGTTCAATTTAAAAAAATAAACATTTCTAAAAATAATATAGTAATTTAAAAATCTTTTTTCAAATTTTTAGGATGTGTAATAATATTATAAAGTTTTTCCGAACTAGAAATTCAGCAATGAACTATATTGATTTATATTTGAATAAACTATGAGTTTGACAAACTATTATTAAAATATCAATATATTTTCTCTACATAATAAGTTTGCTTTAACAAAAATAATCCATAACTGATCTGGAATTAATATCGGATCTATTTACTGCGCAAGTGTGACTCCACTATTTTTCTAAACAGTTTTCTGACTGAATTCTCATTGGAAGGCATTTCTGACTGTCACTACTCACATTACTTTCGGAAACAAACTTACACACAAGAATAACCTAGTTTCTTCTAGCTTTTTCAAGGAACTAAAACTCGACATATCCTTGTAACTATTTCCCATTTCCGATACCAAAACAACCACAATTTCCCAATAATACCAATTCGGCAAGGAGTGAGGGCTGCAATATTCACCAATTTTAAATCAGAAATAGGTTCTATAGGCGGATGTGTCCTCCATGGTCCGTAGGGCCTACACGAAAGGACGAAGACTCGGTAGTGTCGAATTAAATAGCTTATTTTTGACATGTAGATATTATTTTATAGGTAAATAAAAATTTTATAAACTAAAATACTTTCGGAAATTGTATTTGTTACCTATACCTTTACACCATTTCTATTTACTCAAAAATATTTTACAAAACTTATTTAACATCATAATACTTCTTCTGAATCATCTTCACGTGTAGATAATTCATCAGATTTGAAAGTATCATCTATCTGAAGAAGAATCGTCAACATTTTATACAAAACTCGTACAAAATATTTTTGATCTATGAAATCAACAGTCTATGTTGATCAGTAATCCAGAACAAATTAAATGTTTTGAATAAAACAATCTGGTTTGAGCCGGATCCGAAATTCTTCAAAATACTTGTTGGAACACTCGATTTACAATCAGGTATTTGGTTTGAAGTTTGTTGGAACACTTAAAGTAATACTGCACACGAATTTGACGGCCATGTACTTATTTGGACGCTTGTTAGAACAAATCTAATACAACACTATACATAAACCTTACCTACATAATTCTACTTCAGCTTTGACATGAACTGGGACAAATCGTACTCGTTGTCGTACTGTCTACTATCCCAAAGCTCCGGCAACGATTCCAAAACGGCTTTCATGCCCCCCGTAATCGATTTCGCACCACCTGCTGACATCTCTCCATTGACAGAATTCTTGTGGGAAAACAGGTCCAATATTTGGTCGGTACCCATTGTCTCGAGGTGATTGTTTTCGCTGCTTATGACGGTGTTGGCGGTTTGGAGTTTGAATTTTTGCAAACTGAAACAACAAATAACACATAAATTTGAAATCAAATAGAAGGAATAAAACATCTCAAAGACCGTGTGACTAATAAGCAACCCTTTCCCTTCAGAAAACAACTACTCCCTTGGCCAATACCGCAATAGGCGTTGCATTATATCAGGAAAATAACAAATATAGAAAATCATTTTCAACATTCTAGCTTTGATTTTGCTTTCTAAGGAGAAAGTCATACTTAGACAGGTTTCGGCCTTATTAGGACTCATCAGCAAGCATTAGAAGATCTCGACTTCAGTATCTAATGAAGTCTGTATGATGTGTTTCCTTCCTTTTAAAGATAGTTCTTGAAATTTATATTTTTTTAAATCTTAAATTTTAGGTACTGAAGTGTTACTTTTTATGCCAAGAGATTAAAAAAAGTTTAATCCCATTAAAAACATATAATCCTCCTTGTTATTTATTGGTTAAATTTAATTCATTCAATCTTAAAGTGAATTATGTCAACTCCTATATATGGCCTTGAGGAAGAATGCTGAATTTACGAAACTCACGGTTCTCTCACTATTCTATTCTATTTTACTCGCTTTTATCTAATTTAACTTATTTTCTAGAGATTTTTATTTCATAGATAAGTCAGTCAGTTGCTATATTTGATACTGTCAACATATAAATACAAATAGTTTGTAGTTATTTTTTAATAAACGATTTTTAAAACGGAGTTAAAGTTATTACATTGGCGCAGTCAGTAGGATATAAGGGATTGATTTGTATCGAACATATCGATTTTTGTTTCTACGATTTACCGTATATCGAACTTAAGTGACTTTCGTTGGTGACATTGTTCCGGAGTGGCTCCTAGAACCACAAAAAAAAAACAGTCTATCGTAGACCCGACAAGAACTGTGGTTCCAAAGCGAAATAGGGAATGGGGCATGTTCAAAAATTTTGAAATTTTTTTTATGAATAGTAGAGTTAAAAATAAAACTACATTTTTTTTATTTTTTTTTTATCTATTCATTTGCCGGAGTTATGAATTTTTTTAAAATTAATGACGTCACCGGGAATAGACCAATAGGAGCTAGCGCACAACGTTGCCGGCTAGAAGGTTTACGAGAAGTGATGTACGTTCGTTTGTGTACTCCTTCTTACTTTTAGACTTCTAAAACATCGTTAAACAAATATCTTTTAAATATATAATATCAAATGTTTTTTGAAAGTATTGTTTCTGTTTAAACTTTTACTATATTTAAAGTTTTATTGTTTTAAAAGTCACTTAATAATTCAGAAAATGGCAAAACGGCAGCACTGTATGTCATCTGTCATAGTGTCTCCATCAATAATTTATTTGGAATTTGAGTGTTTATTTTGTACTTTTTATAAATAAATATTATGACTACGAAAAAGTGTTTTGTTCCAGAATGTGATAATGATTCACATTCATCTTCAAAAATATTTATTAGTGTTCCTAGAAATTTGGAAAGAAGAAAATCAACCTTCTACTAGCGATGTTTCTCGTAAACTTTTTAATAAAAATACACCGGATTATCAAGATGTAGAATAGCAGCAATTTCTGCTAATTGTCCCCTTCAGGAAATTGAAAATGAGGCTACTAGGTGTATAACCTAAAAACCCTTCTGGAAGAAAATGCAGAATCTCCTGAAAGTTTTGAAGATACCGAATTTATTCATCATTTTGTGGAAGAACTAGTGATAAAGAAATAATAGAAAAATGTGGGTATTTAAACAAACTGGTTCCTGGATCCCATATAATGGCAGATATGGGTTTCAGAATATTTAGCTACTTGAAAACATGGGATGCACTTTAGTAAAGCCACACCTAGTGTATCACAGAATGAAAAAAGTTCTCCAGAAGATGTACAATTAAGTAAATGAATAGCATCTCTAAGAATACATGTGGAAAGAGTTATAAGAAGGGTTAGTTAATTTAACAAGTTAAAACCACATTTGTGTGTGAATTTTAAGCAAGTACATTTACTTAGTAATATCTGCATAATTGTTTGTTAACTTACAAGAACCTATTTTGTAAGAGTAAATATTAATTTAATAAATTTTGTTTGTTTGTTTTTTTAATTTAATTTACCTAATTATCACATTTCAGGGATTATAATGAGTTTTTAAACAGCCAATGTAATTTTTTATAAAATTTTAACTTTTCGAACAAATCAAAGAGGAATGAGTACTTGTATATGCATAAATTTTTTTGGGACTAAAACTACCAAAACAAAGGCACCTATTTACAGCAGTTTAAAATGAAACATTTTGACAAAAACGCTTATGTCACAGTGATAAATATTAAAAACAACCAAGTTCAGTTGAATGTGGTAGCAAAGTCTATATATTCCAATAAATCGGGTAACTACATGTGGTATCACTGGTGATAAATTTAAAAATATCACAATTCTTGCTACCTTTTTCAAAAAACCAGAAAGTGTGCCTTCTTATCAATCCTTTATAAAAATGACAACAGTGATAAATGTAAAAAAAAAATTTAATGTTGCTATTCGTTATTACGATAGTAAAACATGTTTGCAGTTCCGTTTATTTTTTATGAAAATCTAAGTAAAAACAACCAATGTCAAAGGGTTATAATTTTTTTTCTGTTGAACCAAATATATCACAAAATTTAAAAATTGATCATAGGTCAAGCAAGTAATACCTTTGATGATAGTAGCTTTAAAAAAGGAGAAAGAATAATATTGACTTAAATTATTATTATTATTAACATTGGTGATTTTTAATAAAAACTCTTCAATTATTGTTTACAAACAAAAATATAAAAATCTGTGAAAATTTTATTTATTAATATTTTAATAAAAAATGAGAAAAATGAAGTAAAAACAATTTATTTACAAATAAAAAATATATATACAAATCCTAAGAATATAAAAGTACTGATTTATTTTCCTGTAGTGGATGAAGAGGTTTCTTTAACAATCTAGCCAAGTGTACATCAATATTTACGCATTTTGATAAATTAGAGCCTTTCCAATAACACTGAATAGATGTTACAAATAGTTCATCACTTCTTCTATGAAGCCACATATTTACAACCAACTGAAAAAATAAAAGGGTTAGATATGCAGTTACAAAATAACTATATAACCGGCTACAAAATGCCTTTATTTTATGTAACAAGACGAGCAGAGCTTTACTAGCTCTGAACCTCGGATTTTCAAAACTTAAAAAAAAACAATCTCACCACATTTTTGAAATATTATAGAGCTTTTCGAAAAAAACTGCTATTTTTAAAAATACAATTTGTTTAAACAGCTATGTCTCATTTTAGGCTATTGAGTATTATAAAATAAAAAATTACGGGATGCTTTGTTAGCTTCAAACTAATCCAGCAGAGAACCCCAGTTTTTTTTTTTTTTTTAAACCACACCACGTTTTTTGGCTCCTACAATATTATAAAATATTCGAAATTTGGCATTTTAAAAAAAATTCGCAATTCCTTGCTGACTTCAAAGTTTTTTTCTGAAAACAAATGTACTTACCACATTTTTAGGATTTTAAAACAGCCTAAACATGTGTCATAAGTAGTTGTTTTTATATATAAAAAAAAAAATTAAAAAACTGAAGTGTCCTGCTGACTTTGTTCCAACAAAGCACCCTGTATTATTTAAAAATAGCATTTTTTTTAGTAAAGTTTTACAATATTTCAAGAGTCTAAAAATATTCTAAAAATGGGGTGTGGTTTTTAGAAAAAAGCTTTAAAAAACCGAATTGCTCTGCTGGCTTTTTTCGAAGGTTAGCAAGCACCATGTATTTTTAAAAATATAATATTTCAAGTGCATAAATATATGGTGTTGCTGTTTTTACAGAAAAAACTTTATAAAATAGAGGTGCTTTGCTGACTTTGTTCGAAGCTATAGAGCATTTTAAGTTTTGCAAAAAACGAGGAGCATAAAATTTTTGAAAAGGGTATAAAAATAGCCTAAAAATATGGCATATTTTTTAACTCAAAATTTCATAGGTGCTCTGCAGCATTCTTTGGTATCATAATTATTACTAGGTTCACTAACAAAATCTGTTTCTAGATTATTTTAACACTTGCTGCGATTACAAAAAATGCCTATATGTCAAAATTAGAAAAAAAAATATTTATAGGTATAAAGGGCCTTATAAACTGTTTATTATATGTAATATAAAAACAAAAAAGCATAATAAATATTACAAACCTTGACATGCAGCATATCCTAAGCATATTGTGCACTAAAAATTTCATTTTTGTTATTTACAATGCAACCACATCAGAAGGTTTTTGCCGTACTTTATGTTTAGGTGTAATTTGTCTCCTTCTCTCTTATGGAAAAAGAAATTATCCCCATATTCTTGCTTGGCAGATCTAAAAATAAAACCTGAGATAAATATGTTTTACTTGCTCCATATAAACTGTAACTACCTACTATTAAAACAAAGTCTTACCTTTGTGACTTTTGTAAAGTGAGTATTGTTAAAAAATGCAGTAATCATCTCGGTAATCATATTTTCGTTTACAATGGGTAAAACACTTGATTCAACTTTTATAAATCCAGCTGATTCATATTAATAATAAAATTAAACCAAAACAAAAAACTAAGGTTAGATGGTGTCAATTTTAAATGTCACTTAGATGTGCGTTCACTTCGACATTCTGTGTGTTGGTTTGTTCGTTGGCTTGGTTTTGTATAACAAAAAAAACTTCGACACAAGATGATTGGTCTATTCCCGATGACGTATAATTTCAAATTTTAAATTTCAATTGGGCTTAATTTAAAAACTTTTGGCTTTTTTAACGAACTGACTATTTAGAATAACTTGTATAGCGACTAACTATTACAATATAATTTATAAAACAGCATATCTCACATGTGAACATGGCCCATTGAAACCCAAATCGATCAATTTGCAGGAATATTTTCTGGGAACGACAAAAATTGCTGACCCGAATTTATTTCTATAGAGGGATGCTCAAAGTTATATTTTTATTGTAAGTATGTTCACATGTCTGTATTTGACGATTTGTCAAATGTTTTTCTAATTTATATTTAGACCCTTCAACTGACTCAAAGCCCGAAAATAATTTAGAATTAAAACAATGCCTGATTTTAAACCAGAATATTTAACTTGTGTACTCAACTTTGGCGGAAACCCAAATGAATTAAATAGATATTTATCTGTTTGCTTATCTTTGATTGATAATTTTTACAATGTAACTCAGCCAAATTGTTTATCTGTTAAATTATTTAATTTCGAAATTAAATGGCAATGCCAAATTAGTAGTAAATATTCAGAATGTTTCAACTTGGAATGATTTAAAATCAGTCTCAACTATAAACTTTGCAGACCAAAGAAATGAATCTTGTTTAAATAGGGATCTTGTTATGACGAAACAAGGTTCTAATGAAAAACCACAGCAATTCTATGGTAGAGTTTTAAATATTCTCAATCTTTTGTGCAGTTATGTTCATGCTCATGAACACAGTCTTGCATCTAAAGCGTTAAAACGCGATTTATATAACGATTTAGCTTTAAATACCTTTTTAACTGGTTTAAAGGAACAATTAGATGTATGAAACCTACTTCATTAAGCGAAGCTTTGCAATATGTTCTAAAACAAGACAATGTTCATTATTATCAAAATTTTTGCAACAAAAACAATTTTAATAACGTAAGAATTCAACAAATTAGACCTTCTGTTTCAACACAAATTCAAAGACAAAATTTTGACCCTATTTTATCATCTTTTAATGCAAATACCCCAAATAACTTTTCAATAGACAAAAAACTTTTCCGTCGCAACCTGTTCCAATACAATCTCAACAACCAAGGCAACCGCAAAGATTTTTTACTAACGCGAAAGTTTTTGGAAAACCTCAGTAAAATCAAAATGTTTTTAAAACTAATAGAAATGTAAATTTACAAAAAACACGACGCCCATGAATGTTTCTACTAGAAATACAACCAGTAAATCAACACCTATGAGTTTCTAAACGCGTAATTTCGCACCAGGGTCATCCAGAAACTATTTTCAAAATAATTCGTTTCCTCAAAATAAGTTCACTTAAGAAGAATTATTCAGTGCTGAACTTGAACAAAATAATTTGTGTTTTAATGAAAACCAATTTCCTGAAAACTGCTGTTCACAATTTGATTTTTCCGAAAATAATTTGAACGATGAATCAGTTGAAACTAATGAAATAAATTTTCGGGTAACACCACAAAATCAGCTAGACAGATAATACCAAAATTTATATTAAATTTAAATAATTTAAGTGAATTATGTTATATAGTATTTCCTGAATATAATCTAAAATTCATAATTGATTCGGGCTCTAGTAAATCTTTTATAGATCCTGAAATTGCTTATAAGTATTTTTCCAAAAATATACGTAATGATCCATTTGTTGTTAAATCAGTTTTCCATGAATCGGCTCATGAGTATAGTACTTTAATTCCTACTTCAAATATTTTTAACTTATCAGAAGCTTTAAATTTGAAATGTTATCCTTTTAAATTTCATAATATATTTAACGGTTTAATTGGTTTAGATAACTTAAAACTATTAGAAGCAACAGTAGATTTTGCTAATGGATATTTAATTACACCTTACGCTAAAATAAATTTAAAATATAACAGACTTGGTGATTTAATAACAGTAGCACCCTCAATCTAACGGTCAAATAGTAAACTCGTAAATTAAATACGAAAGATTTTCTAAAACACCTGCAAAAATGAAAATGATATATGCAATTTTAGCCTACAATCATTCAATTCACTCGTCCACTAAGTTAAAACCAATCGACATCATAAACGGCATATTATTAGTAGCAATGACCCTTTTGATTTATATATTAATCATGTACTTTCAAATGAATATGTTAACGATTAACGATCATAAAGAAAGAACAAAAATCATGTATTCCAAATTAAATAAAAATTTAATAAAACATTAAGAAAATGTTGCTAACAAAACTTATGACAATCAGGACGACCCCCAAATTTTTAAACCAAAACAAAAAGTCTTAAAGAAATACATTCGACAAAAACATTCAAACAAATTCACTAAACCAATAAAATTAAAAACAGTAAATTTAGCTCAGAAAACAGTATCCACAAAACAACGCGAGAAAGTTAGCATGGATAACTTAAAACGCCCACGGAAAAAACCGTATAAATTTAAAAAATAAATTGTATTTGTTTCAGATTTGCTGGAACTTTCGGACTCCAGGAAAAAATAATAATTCAACATCTAGCTGATAACCCGGGATTAATACCCTTAAAATAGAAATTTATTCCCATTCTCTCATTCACTATTACGATTTAAATTCTATAATATTTGAGGTAAATTTATTAAAAGAACAAAGTGACAACATTAGAAAGATAATAAGTGGAGATAAAAATTATAATAGTAATTTATTAAACTGTGGATTATGGATAAATTAATAGAAATTTTGCCATCTCAACATAGGAAAAAACGAGGCCTAATCAATGGATTAGGATCGATTTTTAAATCGATTGCGGGTAATTTAGATGCCAGTGATGGGAACGATTTGAAACTTTTATCAGAGAACTGCAAAATAATCAAATTAATTTAGCTACAAATATTAAGGCACAAAATTCAGTGTCATTTGCATTAGTTGAAAAATTTAATAAAACTATTCAACAGTTAACAAATAATGAGCACATGCTAAATTCGTGAATTAAAATAATAGAAACTTTGATGAATGAAGAAATCATCCATTCTCGTTTCAATTATATTAAAGACAGTATTGTACAAATAATAAATCTTTTTGAAAGGATGTGGAAAATTCAATTACCTTTGCTAAAATTCAAGTAGTAATGCACCCTAGTATAATCAAAACAATCTATTTGTATAATGAATTGAAATTACTAGAAAAATATTTAAACGAAGACAAACTTCTTCTGGAAATAAATTTAAAAAATGTTTTTTATTTGAAACTTACCCCATAATTTTTTCTTCCAAAGTTCCTCTTGTAATTAATCTATAAACGTTGACAACCTTCCTCTGTCCAATTCTATGAGCTCTGTCCATAGCCTGCAAATCTTTCATCGGATTCCAATCGTGCTCGACGAATATAACGGTGTCCGCCCCTGTCAAATTCAAACCCAAGCCTCCAACTTGCGTAGTTAAGAGTAATACATCTATCGAAGGGTCGTTGTTAAATCTGAAAAAATAAAATATCAGGGTAAAACGTTTTGTAAGATGTTTTTATTTATACAATACTTGTTGAATATTAATAAATTTTCTATACCTGGTAACTACTGAATGTCTCTGAACAGGTGGTATAGATCCATCCAGTCTTAGATATGTCACTCCAGGCATATTTAATTTAAATAAGTCTTCTTCTATAATGTCTAACATCCCTTTCAGCTGACAGAAAACTAACGCCCTGTGTTGGTTGATTACTATATCAGCCGATTCTTTGTCAGTGCTCTCGTTAACGCCTATACCACAGTCTTGAAGAAGTTGTCTAAAAAAATGGTACAATAAAAACATTTTTTCTTATATCAAACTTTTGGACAATTTTTTTTTAATTCACCACAAAAATGATATCTTATACATTAATATAAAATCATTTTTCCCGAAAATAAGGCATTTCTTGTTAGAATCAAGTAAAGCTGATGCTGAGGTGTTATTTTTCTTTTTTAATACTCACTTTAATGCAGGTAACTTGGCCGAATGATTAATATCCTCTAATTTCGAATTCTGTTTTTTTAACGAAGAAATAATATTATGGTAATACGGATGGGACGGATTCAGTACCAATTTTGGATGGTTACAAACATTTTGAAGGTAACGTAATGCTTGAAATATATGTGTGTTATGGATAGAACCGGCTGGAGATCCAGAAGAAATAGATTCCTGTAAAAACATTAAATTTGTTTTAATAAGTTTGGTATTTATTTCAATATTTTATTTTAAATCACATTACCTGCAGGGTTTGATGTGCTTGACTTTTTGAAAAGTCTTCGTAAAGTTGTTCTTGCAGAGGACTCAAATCACAATAATAATCTTGGGTAATTTTCGGAGGTAAATCGTCCAAAACATCTTCTTTCATTCTCCTTAGGAGAAAAGGTAACACCTTTAAAACATAAAACGTAAATGCTGTGTGAACTATATTACAAATTAAAAATTTCCAAAATAAAAATATTATTAATATTATTAATATTATTAATATTATTAATATTATTAATATTATTAATATTATTAATATTATTAATATTATTAATATTATTAATATTATTAATATTATTAATATTATTAATATTATTAATATTATTAATATTATTAATATTATTAATATTATTAATATTATTAATATTATTAATATTATTAATATTATTAATATTATTAATATTATTAATATTATTAATATTATTAATATTATTAATATTATTAATATTATTAATATTATTAATATTATTAATATTATTAATATTATTAATATTATTAATATTATTAATATTATTAATATTATTAATATTATTAATATTATTAATATTATTAATATTATCAATATTATTAAAATTATTAATATTATTATTTAAAAGCTATTAATTGAACAATTATTTAAAAAAAGCTTAAATAGTATAATGACTGATTACCTGTCGATGTAAAGCTTCCATAGCCAAAACTCCAGCTTCTTGTTCTTTGGGAGAACTCTTCGGATCTCTACTCGCTAGAATAGGGCGAGAATAGCGCGCTGTAAATTGCTTTTCGGTGCCTAAAAAGCCGGGCATTAGGAAATCGAAAAGACTCCAAAGTTCTAGGACATTATTTTGTATTGGAGTACCACTTAAGATCAGTCTGTGGTTGGCTGCTAAAGCTTTTATTGCTATGCTCGTTCTAGTTTTGCCTGAAAAGAAATTTGTCTTCTAGTAAAACAAGTAATTTATTTAAACTTGTAATAATAATTAATATTATTATTAAATAATAAATAGATTGAAGATATATATTGTTTGGCATTCTATATAACACTCTTCACAGTTTAAAAGACTTCCCTTAACCTCCCATTCTTAATCAGATTTTCTCAGAATCAATAAGCTGCGTCCCTTTATAGAGCTTGATTTTCCAGATTTCAAATTGATATTGTTTTTGTTTCCGAGTTAGGAATTTTTAATGTTTCAACCCCTTTTAAAATCAAATAAAAATATAAATTGGCTAGTTTTAAATCATAAAAAAATTAATTATTGTTTTATGATTTGAAACTAGTCAAAATAAACCATGTTATTTTTTTGTTTCATGACATTTTTGCCCAGTTTGCAGAAAGATAAATTGCAGAAGCCAGCCTCCAGCGGCTATATTGAATTTAGTACTACTCCAATTTGACAGATGGCAGCAGATCCCCTTAGAATTTTACCATTTAGTTTCCCATCTATTCACACTCCCCTAGTCTATGAGCAGACTTAGATCAGTGAGCAGAGGTAATGAACATCTTAATAGGTGTATTACGTCAAAATAGATACAGATACGTTTCTTCAATAATTATTATATTTAGCATAGAATAATAAAATATAACTATTGCTATACGTTTGAAATGTACCTCCTCGAGCAGAGCAAGTAGATTTTTTTGTCAAGTGACATCGAAGAATCCATATCAATGGACCAAACTGAGATTAAATGTATTAAAAGAACTGTATCGAGTAAAAAAAGCAAAACGATGTATTTTTTAAACACAGCATATCAATATGGAATAAAAAAAGTTACAAATAAGCACAATAGTGGCAATAACAAACAGAACCAGTGCCAGTGCATTATGTTCTGTGAAGGAAAGTAATTTCGATAGAGGTACATTGTGGCAGATACCGTGCCGAAAATGCCAAATCTTTCATCCATTTTTGTTTGCTGAATTTCGATCGAGTCAAATGCACATTACTGAGGCCCTTCCTATGGGGCCTCAGTATTGCATTCGTGCAGACGAAAAAATTTTCTTACCCCCATTTTTTAAAACTTTTTTCCTGTTTCCGAAAATGCAATAAAAAATTACGTCTGGTCGTCTGTGAGTATGTATGCCGGCACAATAACTCTAGAACGAAATTTCTGATTGACTTGCGGTTTTGATTTTCCTGAATAATTACTTCTAACTTAGAAACCTATTGATTTTCAGAATTTTCGGTTCATCCTAACTACTTAAATATCAATTTTCTTAAAATCCGGCTATGCATTTCTTATGTGACTAATTTTACGAATTCCAATCATTCCTAACGTCTAACATTCTTAACATTCCATACATTGCAAATATTCTCCAACGACCAGTCAAATAACAGCCGTCGATTGTCAAGGTAAGATTTCTAAGGCAGGTTGCGATCTTCATACTTGCAACCATAGCCATTTTAGAGGCTATTTTTATTCGAAATTAGTCGCCAAGTCTGCCAATTTATAAAAAAATATATAAGCAGTTTCTTAAAAATTACTTTTTTATGGTGGTGCTAACTTAAGCTTACTACTATTTCGCCCCTAGCCACAAAAATACCTTCATCAAATTTATTGGATCTGTCGCAACCCCATAGAATAATTAACCAGAATAATGCTTGGCTGTGCCTGTCAAGTATCAAGATGTCAACTGTGATGTGTGAATGGCTATTAAATGTCAAATTATTTAAAAATGTTTGTATATTTATTGCAAATAATTTGTAGTGTATCTCAATAAATAAGGCTTTCCATAAATAAAGGTACAGCAAGACAGATAATTTTAATTATACGATTTTGGATTACATTAAGGAGTTGAAGTGCAATATTATATAGTCTACCTACATTATACCATATTGCAAAATAGATTCAACCAGCGAATTGTCAATAAAAATTGGTAAACTCCCAGTCATAGATTTCCTCAATTCATAAAATTTAAAAATGAATCTTCTAACTTTGGTTGGTAATGACGTAATGTGATCAACCCATTTCAAATTTTGATCAATTATGATACCAAAGTATTTTGTTATGTTTTTCATTTTAATTATAAAGTTGTCATTTATTTGTATATTGAAAGAAGGCCTTTGTAAATTATATTAGGCATTCCAACGACCTGTCAAACAATATGTGCCAGTGGGAAATTCTTGTATATCTAAAGGGGTAGCGACATAGTCTTGCAACTTGGATGCTATTTTTATTCGAAGTAGTAGTGGCCAAGCCTGCCAATTTATGAAGAAATGTATAAGTGGGTTTTTTAAATATTATTTTTATTGTGTTTGACATAAAATATTTAAATGTAATCCATTATTCATGATTTTACGTAAAGTAGATAGAATACACCGTATGTCGCCACCCTTAGATATACCAAACCTTCCCACTGGCGATTCATTTGTTTGGAATGCCTAATTGCTCTCTATGGATCTACTTTAACACAAAAATAGTATTGGGGCTATAAGTTGCTATAACCTATTATAGTCACAAAACTAAACATAGTAGTTAGTACTAATATAACATCAAGTAATTTTTTAAAATAAATTACATGATCTCAAAACAGAAATAATTTATAATAACAATAAATTAAGGGAAATACCTAAAAAAGGCAGGTTTAAAGAGTATTATCACAAGAAAGTATATCCATTCCGTTTATTTATCAAGTATTGTTTGATGTTACTTTTGAATACTCATCCTTCTGTTCTTTATTAATATTATATAAATAGGCGAAGTAAGGAGACCAAATATTTTACATGAGCAGGCTTAAGAGGTAAAGGGGGCCAATTATTATTGAATAAATTGCTCGAACAAATTTGTAAACCCTAATCAAAAGGCGATATAGAATGTCCTAATACTACTATTGGCTTTCGGTCTTTCGTTCCAAGTTAAATCATTTCTCGTTTTTTTAGGCTACGAGTTTACCCTTTTGGGTCTCAGTTTCGATAGTGTGAACCACCATTTTAGCGTCTCTCGAATTTACTTTAGTGTTTGCTCCCGAACAAGTTTACTGATTCTTTTATTGAAAGTGTTCCAATTTATTGGATTTACTGATGGAATTAAGAACACCAATAATGGGTTATTACTCATGATTGAAGATAAAAGAACGTTTAATTCAACATTAATCTTTTTTTTTTATTAAATAGTTTTGAAAAGTTGAGGTATTTTATTGTTTCTCACAGTAAATTAAAGTTGAATAGCTTTATTTTATTTCCTCAGTAGAAAAGTTAGTCTACGACATTTCTGAAGTGTATTTTAGGCAAAAGGTTATAAGCTATAACTGATAGTTTTATAACTTTATAGCAGGATAAATACACATTTTTTCACAAATAAATTACAGTTTTTAGGAACCCCACTCGTAAAATGAATCAAATTCAAATGTAATGTTTTTTAAATTGTAAATTTTTTAACATACTTCAAAAAAAGGCGGAAGTTCTCAATTCTGCGATAATTCTTTACCACGTTGTCCGATTTCTACGATTCTTTTTTTGTTAGAACGAAGATACCTGTGCTCCCATATAAATTTGGTAAATATCTGTTAACGAGATCTATGATAAAATCAGCAAACCCAAATTGTAATGGCATCAGCACGATTTTGAAGTCGGTCTTTTAATAGTATATTATGCAATGATCATGTAACGCTGTGACTCGTGTCGTAACTTACCTCAAGCTCGTGTATTAATAGCCATTACATGAAAATTGCATACACTATTTTTTTCTACGACCAAGAAACTATTTGAATTCAACATTGATTTATTTTTTTAATTTTTTAAAAAAATATTACATTATTTTTTCTACGACCAAGAAACTATTTCAATTCAACATTGATTTATTTTTTTAATTTTTTAATAATTTTTTAAAAAAATAATAAAATAAGAAAGAAAAATAAGTTTTTCGACTTAATTTTTATTTCTAGACACCAATATAATAACTATGATGATACATTTTTCGCATTTTCAGCGATTTCAGGTGGTATACATGAAAACTCTTCGTCGCTCGACATTTTTTTTAAAATAAGTGACATGTACCTATCTACCTTTTTGACTAAAGATTGAAACTGTCATAAAACACGAATCTCTTAGAAACCGTCAAACATTCTACCGAAAATATTGGGTCTGCTTATTTAAAAATCTAGATTTCCATTGGTCAATTTTTCAGTTTCATATTGGGTCTGCTTATTTAAAAATCTAGATTTCCATTGGTAAATTTTTCAGTTTCACAATGAAAACCAGTTTATTATGAAACTAAAAATTAACATTTAAGGTGATTACAGCACCCTCTTATAACTTTCGGACAAGTATATCTCAAAAAGTAATTTTTTTAAAAAATTTAAATTTTGGCAAGATAAATTAGGAAATAATATCTAGAATATGCATATATTTTAAATTAAAGTTGAAGGTAGTAGCCATGTGTGAGTTATATGAAAATTATGATATTTGATATAATTTTTAAACCCACTTTATTAGTTATGAGCTCATTCGTTTTTACCTCTCTATTTTAGACCATACCTGATGATGAGGATCTGATCTCCTCGAAACCGGTCGTATTAAATTACTCTTGTGAGATCTTAAGGACCACCCTTGTTTTATTTACCTCTTTTTTGATATATTTTAAAGTTTAAATTTCTTCCAGTTTCCGAGAAAAAAAATCAAAGGGCTTTAAATTTTGAAATGTCATGATGAAAATAAATGCATTCCTCAACAGCACTATTCTTAATATAATCCATGAATTTAAGCTATTGTCTTGTTAATGATTTTTTAAAATTCGCCAAAATTAGTGGCCAAAACGCCTCGTTAAGTGCTATCTTCTGGGATAAACTGGTATAAACTGGTGTAAATCATTTCAGGAAACAAATGAAGACTGAGAGTGTACGATACGATAGTTACAGTCGCGTTACAACAGAAGGCAGCACTTAAAGAGGCGTTTTAGCCACTAATTTTGGCGAATTTTAAAAAATCATTAACAAGACATTAAGAGCTCAAATTTCAAGATTATATTAAGAATAGTGCTGTTGAGAAATGCATTTATTTTCATTATATTTTAAAATTTAAAGCCCTTTGATTTTTTTTCTCAAAAACTGAAAGGAATTAAAACTTTAAAATATATGCATATTCTAGATATTATTGCCTAATATATTTTGCCAAAAATTTTAATTTTTAAAAAAAATTACTTTTTGAGATATCCTTGTCCGAAAATTATAAGGGGTGCTGTAATAACCTTAATTAACAACTTATAGGTATAGGAGTAGAAAAAATTAATTTTATAACTTGTTTAAAAAAATAAAGTAGTCAGAATGTTATGTCAAGGATCATACATTTATGCTTAAATATATATAAAAATTGTTGTTTAACTTACCGTTTTTTATCACATGTCCTTCATCAAGAATTATGTAATTCCATTTAATTGTAGAAAAATATGAAATATCCTTACGAACAATATCATAAGAAGCGATTATTATGTTGTATTTTTTGAATCGGTGTCTCAACTTTTCTCTCTCGGTCGGGGAACCATTGTATTGAAGAGGTCGTAAGTATTTGTTCTTTAAAAATTTTTCAACTTCATATAACCAGTGACCTAAAAAAAAAATTCACAATTTCGATAAGAAACAGAAAATTAGTTTGACATAAGTATATTGGACAAATATTTACCTGTTAAAGTGGGAGGACAAATCACCATGGATGGTAAAGGTGCACAATCGGGTGATTTCGTCTCAATATATTTTTGTTCCCTATCAAACTGATCTCCAGCCAGTATACAAATACTTTGCAAAGTCTTCCCAAGACCCATATCATCGCATAGGATACCATGTAACTTATACCTGAAAATCTTACTGTTATTTAAAATAATTTGAAAATTTGAAGTTATCGAACTTATTAAGAAACGCCAGCCAATTCACACCAGCCTGCTGGTAACTTCTTAACTCCGCCTCAATGGGTACGGGAACCTGATAATCGGGAATTGAAGTCGGTGTCAAAAGTTGATTCAAAAATTCTCTTTCTTTCACTCTTTGCACGTTTAAAATGCTACCTGCGTTAAAGAATAAAAAATCAATAAAAACAGTAGTAAAAATAATCATATGCATATAAATTAAATGAATTATTCACAAACAAGTAATAAGTTACAAATTATGTTTCTAAGGAAGAAAATTACAAATATCTCTTTTATGTATTACACTAGTAGAAATTTCAAGTGTGAAAAACCATTATTATAATAATAATAATACTCTCCCTAATTCACCCCCTTACGAGTGAATTTCAACCCCTGAAGTCGACTGAACGACTTGTGTAGGGGAAGGGACGGCTATTATTATTATTTGCCGTGGCGCTCCGGGGCGACTTAAAGATGATTGATGGTGCCATTTGACTTACAGGTGAGGAAAACCCGGAAAACCTCACCCACCATCATCGAGACGGTAATGTATGGCGATTTTTTTTTTTAATCTGCATGTCATATCAACAGAAATTGAATTTCTATTAATACGCCACACATCAAATCCTAAACCGAACCATGCAATTTAATTAAAAATCCACATGGTCCGGTCTGGGATTCGAAACCCAGCAGTCTCAGACTCATAAACTTGCCTATAAATGAATATAAGCGCGATAGACCGCTACACCACCGTCCCGATACAAAATTAACCTAAAAAATATGACAGGAGAGGAAGATATGATCTCTATGTAACGATTATTACTGTATTACAGTTACTAAGTAAAAACATAGAGTATGAAGCTATAAAATTTCCCTCTCCTAATAACAGAGATATTTGCTGGATAAAAAAATTCGGGGACATCCGATATTCCAATTTCGTAACTAAACCTCACTATTCACAAATTAATATATCATATGTAATGAAAAATTTAAAAATAATGTAATATACAAAAAAAATATTTGTTTTACCTTTCAAAGCAGGTGGTTCGGGTATACCTCCATCTAAGGGCATTAATTGAATAAGTGTGGCAAAACTGTGCGTTCCCATAAGTCTTACACACATATTTTGATCGGACATTCTACCTAGTAATGGCACCACAAGCAATACGACATAAGGTATTATGTCATATTTCAGTTCATCAACTATACATGCTATTGCTTCTACGGCACCTTGTCTAAAAATGAAATAACGAAACATTTTAATGAGACACTAAGAAACGTGCAAAAATTATCCCTACATCACAATCACATTTATTTCACCTTAAAACTTTTTTTCACTTATTACTTTCATTTACAAAAAGTAACTACTCAAATAAAATATTTTAAAAGACATTTAAGAGTGACTGACAGCAATATAGAAAAAAAAAATATTTAATTTCACAGTTGACAAGCATAGCCATTGATATAATGAAATCAGTATCTTTGATGCAGTGCATAAAATAGGCTCTATAAGGAATGCATTACTTATTAAAAACATTGATATTTAAAACGTTAGAGTTAAACGACATTTTTTTAAATCAATAGAGTTCTCAGTTAGAATAAATTATCAAATAAAATCAAAATCGCTGGTCGATCGGAGCTTTCAGTCTAGAGTTATCGTGTCGGTACACATACGAATTATTTTTGTTTAACTTTGAATGATCGGAAACGTAGAGAAAAATGTTAAAAGTGAAGATGATAACGCTTTTTTCGTTGGCACAAATGCAATTCCGAGGTCTAAGTAGGGAGGGCTCAGTAATTAAAGTTTCTATCAGAAATGCATTCCACATGTTTATTCTCGAACCAATAGTTTATAAGTATTAGCAAATTAATAAAATTAAATATTACTGTACCTGTCAATATCGCAATCGGTAGCTCCCAATTTGGGCAAAACTATATTGACTATCATTTCCATTACTCTGACAGAATCCAACTTAGCAAAAATTGCTAAACACCGTGATGCCAAATGTCTCACAGCTCTATATGGATGCGAAAGTAAGACACATAGTCGAATCAGTGACTTTTGCATCACTTCTGATAACAGAGATTTATGCAAACTGTCGGCCGTTACTTCCAAAACCTAAAAAAAAATTTACTTTAATGGTTTCTTACAAAAATTAAACATGTTGAATTATTATACGCAATGGGATGGACTAAATAAATGTTCAACTAGATAACTTACTTGTAAGGCCCACAAAAGTTCTTCAGCTTTATCATCTTTATTTAACAGATCGCTAGAATTGAAATTAAATGGATCTACAGAATCCGTTAATTGTCCAATCATATATTCCCATAATTTAGGCAAATTCGCTGGTAAATTTTCACCAAAATGTTTAACCAGAGCAACTAGAGCCAATGTACCGCCTCGTCTTTTTACGAAATTCGCCTTTTGAGTGTCGTCTTCTTCTTTAAAGAGTTCTTCCATGGGTATATCAGTTGCTGGGGGTCTACCTGTGTGGACAGAAGTTTGGAATTAATTATATCGGCAGTTATTCCAATATATCAATGGACTAAATTAGTCAAATTTTATGACTCCATTTTAAACTTTTCTACTTATAAAGTACTTCAAATATCACTGGAGGCCGAAGAAATAATTATTAAAGTTGAAAATTTTATGTGCCATAGGTCCCGTGACGTGTACCAATAAATTAAAAAAATTTAAATTTTGTTGCAAAATGTCTACTTTTATTTTCCTATTGTCCCATCTCTGTGTGTATTGTAGGAAGAGTGAAATAGAAAAATAATTAGGTGTCTGTTCTTTTTATAACAATTCTCAAGATTTAAGTGGACCTCTGGAAAAATTAATTACAAATTCAAAAATTTTCAAAAAATTCATGAATATATATGAGATCTTGGCTAGTATCTTCATAAAGTTTAATCAAAATCGTTCAAGTGGTTTTTGAGTAAAACAAGAAAAACTTTTTTTCCACATATAAAACTAAAAAACTGTTCGAGCGTTTTCAACTATATTTTGTAAAATTAATTTTTTTGAATTTACAGTTTTGGCACAAAAGAAAAAAATATTTTAATATACTCAAATCATTTATTCATACGTATTTTTTTTAAACTTGCTGAATATAATTAGATTAATAAACTTATAAGCCTCTAGCAAAAAAATTGTGTTACTGAATTGAGCGTGTTTTCAAAATAAATGAATAAAACCATATGATTTAAAATTCGCACGTTAGATTTGAAGCTCTGTAGGTGCTGCCTCTACAATAATATGCAAAACATTTAAACACATTTCAATAAATTAAACACACACCAAGTCTTTACACAACGTTGCCGGTTTGCCGTTATAACTTATAATTTCAAGGAGTTTAAAAAGTTTATTACATCTGGATAATTATGAATTATTTCATCGCTTTAGGTATTAGAAAGATAAACAATGAAACCAGGAAAATAAATAAAAAATTTAATATTTGATTAAAGCCAAAATTTATGATTTACATTTATTTAGTTACAGGTTGGCTTCATTTTTTTAATTACAAATTGTAAGTTTACACAGGAAGGACTTAAATAATAAAGGGAAATAAATAATTTTATATGTATTAAAAATCATTTTTGATTTATTTGTTTTAAGTTACAGGTTGCTTTAGTTTTTTTATTACTAATTTTAATTGTACACAATTGTACTTAGGTATTACAAAGAGTTAATAAAAATAATTTAGGTATAATTTATTAGGCAGCTTCATAACTAGAGGGAGGAACTCAAATAAATTAAATCAAATATTAAGATATACTCGTAAAAAAAATTAGGACATACCTATGATAAGGACATTTTTTTGCGGGCCGTAATAGATTTTTAAGAGGGTTTAAGATATCAAAAAAAAAACTTGTGGAATAGAAGTTAACAGCTTCTTGTTGTTGTGAGGATTTAGTATAAATTTTGATAAAACATTTTGACAAATAGTTCTGTCTTTCTTCGGAAAGAAGGGATGATTAAATCGTCGTCTACCATGACAGGAGCATAAGAGCTTTTTCTAAAATTGGTGACAGAATATTATTCTTAAAATGTATCAGTTTTTTTCATTCACATTTTTATTGATTTGTCTCTGGTGTCAGATTTTGTAAAAACTTGTGTGACTCGATAATTGTCTGCCGAGATATCTATTTAACTTTGAATAATTTCGTAGTTCCATATTTCGTGAATGTCTACTATCCACAAGTTCTACTCCATAATTATCATAAAAAAATGTGCTTATCTTGTTAATCATTGCCTTTGTGAACTTTTCATCATATTCAATCGTTTATATATGTAGACCTTTAGGTGTCCAAATCACAAAATCATAATAATTTCTTTTAGATATATAAAGTTGTCCCTGCACTTGATAAAAATATTTGTGATTCTTTTTTAAATACATATTACATCTATCTTCAGCTAAGTAACAACAGGCATTTTTAATCGAACTTGCTGCTTCTAATGGTGTATATTCCTGGGCGGAGTAGGGACATTTAATTTCAATAATTTTGTCATCACTAACCAGACCGTCTGGCAATGTTCCTAAAAACCCGTATCCTTTTTCAGTGCAGACGAATAATCCACAAGGAGTCACAATATTTTTAGTTAAAGATGTATATGCTTCTCTTGCTACATCTTCGTTGATATTTCCATATTCCAACTGTATTAATTATGTACAAAAAATGTACACAATTGTCTCATCCAATTTTCCAAAGTATAGTCTCCAAAAGTAGAAGCTATGAGAGGGGATTGTCTCTCCTCGAACCATTTTGGGTTATTACTATGACTTCTTGTAGACTGTTCAATTCCGCCAGCTTCAACAATGGAGACGTTTAATAGTCCTACTTGTTGGTCTATTAGTGTTTTGATTTCTTCTTCGCGAAGATCAGGTGTTTGACAATGTATTCCATAATCTTTTTTAGGGTTTGAAGTTTGTACTTCTGTTGCAAACAGTCTCCTTCTATATTTTTTAACTTAACGTTTTCCTTGCTTCTTTTATTTATTAACCGTTTGAGAGTATTCGGCAGTCTTAGCAAATTTTCTTCGGTATGCTTTTAAGAACTAACTGGGATCAAATTGGTATGCTAAACTCGCAGCATTGCATCTTATATTAAAACTATTTCTACGGCCGTAAAATTTGTATTTGCCTTTATTCAATTTTGCGACTTGATGCATAAATTGCTCGCATCTATTACTAGTCATATCTTAAACAAGGCTGGAAGAATGTGAAGCAAAATTTCCTAATATACGAAATATTCGTAATCGCGTCTCAGTAGGGGCTTGTTTTAAACCATTTCGTATGCTTACTTGTCCATGCTTAAGACAGTAATCTATTTTATAATGTTCGTGATTCCCAAATACATGGTCCACCACATTCTGGATATCACTTTTCAAATCTTCTGAAGATGGATTATCTTTTTTACCACGTATTGTAAAGTTTTCTGCAGGTTTTATCTATATGATTAATTCGGGTAGTGGGCAATAGTTTTTTATTTGCCAATGACTCTTTCGCTATTCCGTGTAGATGCTTGGTTAAATTTTTGGTCAAATGATTCGCACATTCTATTTTTTTAATTTTCCTGCAATAAGAAACATTTTTCAAAATTTTCACGTGAACGCTTGAATCACCATCACCAATAAAAGTAATATACTGGAGCTTGTGCATGGATTCACTTTGAAGGAAACCTTCTAAGACGATATCTGCTTCCATTGCGGGTGAGGATCCACTCCAGTTTTTGTGTTAGTCATATCTATTGGAACATAGAGTAATTGTAAGTTATGAGGATCAGAATATGAGGATTGGAACAAAGATGCCTCAATAAAATGTTGTGGTAAAAAAAATACTTTTTCCTTTTAGTTGTAATAATTTCACAAAATTGGCAATTAGACAAGGAATGTAATTGAATTTATTATTTTACATTTTGTTGCCCACATATGCTATTCCTAATGATGATATTGGCTCATAGCTTTTCTTTCCGAAATTTTTGGTCCTAATTAAAACCCAAGTCTTTCCTTAAAATAAATTGGAAAAGTCGTAAAGTAGAAAAATACCACGTAGAACATTCACTTTGAGTTTGTTATTTTTTATTAAAAAGAGGATAATTTCCTGTACTTCAATGTTTTTTTTTTAATTTTGACCGTTACTGCACTAGAATTTGGAATTTATTCCGCAACATTGTGGTGCTAAAAATTAATAAAAATATAAAATTGACTGATCATTCCAAAGACGTTTTATTTGTTTATGAAATATGTTATTAAGTTATTTTGTTTATTATTCGGAGTTACAAATTTGTCTACTTTTAATTATTTTAAAACACTTTCAGACTTTGAAGTGTTCAATTGTGTTTCTCAAAAACGGTTAAAATTATTAGGTTTAAACAAAAGTAGAACAGTTTTACACAAAAATTATGTTTGTATCATATTCTCTAATCAAAATTACTTAGAAAAAAAGGTATATTTTATGTTTGACAAAATCTATAACATAACTGTTTATTGGCCAGCTAATAAGATATCAAAAGTTTCATCGAAGAAAGGTATGTCTCAATTTCATTATCTGGAATCTGGACAAAATATAAAATAATAAATATTATTCCCTCCGTAAAGTTATGCCTCTGTGTCAATTTTAATAATATGAATATTTTGTAAAATTATTAGCAAAAAACGAAAACAATATTTTAATTTAAACACCCGCTAGAAACCATAGGGTTGGAACGGAAATGCAAAATCTATATCCTATTTTTTTAAAAGTTTATTGTCCAGCTACCTGTTTATATACCTTTGTTTTGTACCTTCTGTGCAACGTGCAACATTTCAGTAAATAATCGGAGATCGGTCCGCGTTGTCAAATTTTCGCCAAATTCTTTATTTCCAATTAAAGATCCTGTACAAACACGCTCTTTGTTACATTTATCACTTTAATAATAATATTATTTATAATAAACTAACATTGTTTTCAAATAAAAAAGTAAAATAAATAGATGTCTTATGTTTAAAATAATATTTGAATTGGTTTATTTGCAAAGGTAAGTACTACTATGAAAATATGTGACAACGCACTTTTATCCTTCTTCTTTGACCTGTTTTTTTTTTAACGCAGTGGATTGCATAATTATAAATAAATCAATGTTTACAAACCTATGTATTTATATTATTTAAATAGGATAATTTACAAAAAAAAATGCTTATTTTATGAACTTCTAACGTAACCTAATTTTACGTGAAGTTATTGTACTTTTCTTGCAGGCGTTATAGAAAAATCAAAATCTTCAATAATTCTACCTATCTATTTCGATTTTAATATAGTGTTAGATTCGTGCAATATTCAAGACGCCGCCACTGCCTAAGCGATACTTGGATATTGGATACACACACATACGCACTCGGCGAGTAGAAGACCGAAAAATCAAAAAGACACTTATGATCGACGTGGGTTCATATGCACACGTTCGACGCTCTTTGAATTTTAATTAAAAACGATTGTTAATAACTT